TTAAACGTGTGCAAAAAATGCAAAATGGGTCCAGCAGCAAAAGGGTTAAAGTTTTATTGCAGGGGTCTCCATACCATTCACACAAAGGACTAGTTTAAGTTTTAGGGGGCCGAATTGTGACCAGTGGGGCTAGAAAATGTCCTGTGCCTAGCACAGTGAAATAAATATGGCCGCAGGTTGGTGGGCAGCAGGAGGTAGAATAGTGCCCCATCATTGGTGTCAGTGGGGGGAATAGTGCCCCATCATTGGTATCAGGGGGGGAATAGTGCCCTCATTGGTATCAGTGGGAGGAATAGTGCCCCATCATTGGTATCAGTGGAGGAATAGTGCCCCGTCATTGGTATCAGTGGGGGAATAGTGCCCCGTCATTGGTATCAGTGGGAGGAAATAGTGCCCCCGTCATTGGTATCAGTGGGAGGAATAGTGCCCCATCATTGTATCAGTGGGAGGAATAGTGCCCCATCATTGGGATCAGGGAGGAATAGTGCCCCATCATTGGTATCAGTGGGAGGAATATGGCCCCATCATTGGTATCAGTGGGAGGAATAGTGCCCCATCATTGGTATCAGTGGGAGGAATAGTGCCCCATCATTGGTATTAGTGGGGGGGAAAAGTGCCCCATCCATTGGTGTGGTGGGTGAATAGGTGCCCCAATCCTTGGTATCATGGGACGGAATAGTGCCCCATCATTGGTATCAATGGGCGGAATGTGGGCCCCATCATTGGTGTCATGGGAGGAATAGTGGCCCCCATCATTGTGTCAGTGGGGGAAATAGTGCCCCATCATTGGTGTCCGTGGGAGGAATAGTGCCCCATCATTGGTATCATGGGAGGAATAGTGGCCTCATCATTGGTGTCCGTGGAATGGTGTCCCAGGCAATGTGTCATGGGAGGAATGGAGTCTCGTCATGGGTATCCATGGAAGGAAATAGTGCCCACCCGTCATAGGTGTCAGTGGGAGGAATAGAGGCCCCGTCATTGGTGTCAGTGGGGAAGGAATATCGTTGGTGTCAGTGGGAGTAATAGTGTGCCCCCATCGTTGGTGTCAGTGGAGGAATAGTGCCCCATCGTTGGTGTCAGTGGGAGGAATAGTGCCCCCATCATTGGTGTCAGTGGGAGGAATTAGTGCTCCATCATTGGTGTCAGTGGGGAGGATTAGTGCCCCATCATTGGTGTCAGTGGGAGGAAATAGTGCCCCGGTTTTTTTTTTCATTGGTGTCAGTGGGAGGAATAGTGCCCCATCATTGGTATCAGTGGGAGGAATAGTGCCTCAACATTGGTGTCAGTGGTAGAGATAGTGCCCGTTGTGTCAGTGGGAGGAATAGTGCCCCATCGTTGGTTGTCAGTGGGAGGAATAGTGCCCCATCATTGGTGTCAGTGGGAGGAATAGTGCCCCATCATTGGTGTCAGTGGGAGGAATAGTGCCCCATCGTTGGTGTCAGTGGGGAGGATATAGTTCCCCATCGTTGGTGTCAGTGGGTGAGGAATAGTGTCCCCATCGTTGGTGTCAGTGGGGAGGGAATAGCACGCCCCATCGTTGGTGTCAGTGGGAGGAATAGTCCCCATCATTGGTGTCAGTGGGAGGAATAGTTGCCCCATCGTTGGTGTCAGTGGGAGGAATAGTGCCCCATCGTTGGTGTCAGTGGGGGAGGAATAGATGCCCCATCGTTGGTGTCAGTGGGAGGAATAGTGTCCCATCATTGGTGTCAGTGGGAGGAATATGTGCCTCGTCATTGGTGTCATTGGGAGGGATAGTGCCCCATCATTGGTGTCAGTGGGAGGAATAGTGCGCCCCATCATTGGTGTCAGTGGGAGGAATGATGTCCCCATCAATGGTGTCATTGGGGAGGAAATAGTGCCCATCATTGGGCGTCAGTGGGGGGGGAATGGTGCCCCATCATTGGTGTTGGTGGAGGAATAGTGCCCCATCCTTTGGTATCAGTGGGAGGAATAGTGCCCCATCATTGGTATCAGTGGGAGGAATAGTGCCCCATCATTGGTGTCAGTGGGAGGAATAGTGCCCCATCATTGGTGTCAGTGGGGGGAATAGTGCCCCATCATTGGTGTCAGTGGGGAGGAATAGTGCCCCATCATTGGTGTCAGTGGGAGGAATAGTGCCTCATCATTGGTGTCAGTGGAAGGAATGTGCCCCATTGGTGTCAGTGGGAGGAATGGTGTCGTCATTGGTATCAGTGGAAGGAATAGTGCCCCGTCATTGGTGTCAGTGGGAGGAATAGTGCCCCGTCATTGGTGTCAGTGTGGGGGGAATAGTGCCCCATCGTTGGTGTCAGTGGGAGGAATAGTTCCCCATCGTTGGTGTCAGTGGGAGTAATAGTGTCCCATCGTTGGTGTCAGTGGGAGGAATAGTGCCCCATCGTTGGTGTCAGTGGGAGGAATAGTGTACCCATCGTTGGTGTCAGTGGGAGGAATAGTGGCCCCATCGTTGGTGTCAGTGGGAGGAATAGTGTGTCCCATCGTTGGTGTCAGTGGGAGGGAGGAATAGTGCCCATCGTTGGTGTCAGTGGGAGGAATAGTGTCCCATCGTTGGTGTCAGTCGGGAGGAATGATGTTCTCGTCATTGGTACTGTCATTGGGAGGGATAGTGCCCCATCATTGGTGTCAGTGGGAGGAATGATGTCTCAATTGGTGTCATTGGTGTGCCCCATCATTGGGAGGGATAGTGCCCTGTCATTGGTATTAGTGGGGGGGAATGGTGTCCCATCATTGGTGTTGGTGGGGGGAATGGTGCAACATCATTGGTGTCGGTGGGAGGAATGGTGCCCCGTCATTGGTGTCGGTGGGAGGAATAGTGAATCATGACATCGGGAAGAGAAGGGCCAGATAATTGCTAGCAAAGGGCCGCATGTGGCCCTCGGGCCAGGGTTTGGGGAGCCTCTCTTTTGGTGCAGCAAGCCCCTACACTGTGAGCGCAGTCCTGTCTGGATGGGAAGCTGTGGCCATGCTGGGACTAGTAGTTCCCCCCACCTAGAGCGACAACCCAAACACCAGCAGGGCTGGGGCCGTTGAGGGACAATGTGGGCGTGGTAGGGGAGGAGAGCAGTCACAAGGGGGGGAATGTGGGGGCGGGACTTAGACGGTGGGTTGAGGGGGCGGGCACACAGTAGTAAAGGCCGGCAAAAAAACTGGGGGCGGTCCGTATGGGCAAGCAAGGTGGGCGGGATAAGGGGTGCGGTAAAGGGCGTGTTTGTGAACGGAACACAGTGGCTGTGAGTAGGGGAAGGGGGGCGAGGCAATGGGCGGGCTGGAGAGGCGTGTCTGGCTTGTGCAGGGACTCGGGAAGGCCGAGGTGCTGCAGGCCGGAGATCTGTCGTTGGTCCCGGGCATCTGTGATCGGACATGGCCCTGAGAGAGCTGAAAGTCTGCCTGCTGGGGGTGAGTGTGCTGCCGGTCCCCCTATCCTGCACTGTGACCGCACAGACCCATAGGGGGCACCTGGAGACGGTTATGTAATGGCTTGTGACATCATAGCTGGCCAGAATCCGGGCTCTATTAATCTCCATATATATAGAACACTGTGTATCCATATAGAGGTCCTGCTATATACAGTCATATAGTGTTTGTGTGTCCATCTGTATGTATGTAGGAACTATATATAGTGTGTGTGTCCATCTGTATGTATGATGGAACTATATATAGTGTGTGTGTCCATCTGTATGTATGATGGAACTATATATATAGTGTGTGTGTCCATCTGTATGTATGATGGAACTATATATAGTGTGTGTATCCATCTGTATGTATGGAACTAATATATGTATGTGTATCCATCTTATATGATGGAACTATATATAGTGTGTGTATCCATCTGTATGTATGTAGGAACTATATATAGTGTGTGTATCCATCTGTATGTATGTAGGAACTATATATAGTGTGTGTATCCATCTGTATGTATGTAGGAACTATATATAGTGTGTGTATCCATCTGTATGTATGATAGGAACTATATATAGTGTGTGTGTCCATCTGTATGTATGATGGAACTATATATATAGTGTGTGTGTCCATCTATGTATGTGAACTATATATATGTGTGTATCCAACTATATATATGTATGGAACTATATATGTGTGTGTATCCATCTGTATGTATGTATTATAGTGTGTGTGTCCATCTGTATGTATGTAGGAACTATATATAGTGTGTATCCATCTGTAATGTATGGGAACTATATATAGTGTGTGTGTCCATCTATATGTATGTAGGAACTATATATAGTGTGTGTATCCATCTGTATGTATGTAGGAACTATATATAGTGTGTGTATCCATCTGTATGTTATGTAGGAACTATATATAGTGTGTGTATCCATCTGTATGTATGTATGGAACTATATATAGTGTGTGTATCCATCTATATGTATGTAGGAACTATATATAGTGTGTGTATCCATCTGTATGTATGTAGGAACTATATATAGTGTGTGTATCCATCTATATGTATGTAGGAACTATATATAGTGTGTGTATCCATCTGTATGTATGTATGGAACTATATATAGTGTGTGTATCCATCTATATGTATGTAGGAACTATATATAGTGTGTGTATCCATCTATATGTATGTATGGAACTATATATATAGTGTGTATCCCATCTATATGTATGTAGGAACTATATATGGTGTGTGTATCCATCTGTATGTATGTATGGAACTATATATAGTGTGTGTATCCATCTGGTATGTATGTGTAGGAACTATATATATATATAGTGTGTGTATCCATCTGTATGTATGTAGGAACTATATATAGTGTGTGTATCCATCTGTATGTATGTAGGAACTATATATAGTGTGTGTATCCATCTGTATGTATGTAGGAACTATATATAGTGTGTGTATCCATCTGTATGTATGTATGGAAAACTATATATAGTGTGTGTATCCATCTGTATGTATGTAGGAACTATATATAGTGTGTGTATCCATCTGTATGTATGATGGAACTATATATAGTGTGTGTATCCATCTGTATGTATGTAGGAACTATATATAGTGTGTGTATCCATCTGTATGTATGATGGAACTATATATAGTGTGTGTATCCATATGTATGTATGGAACTATATATAGTGTGTGTATCCATCTATGTATGATGGAATATATATAGTGTGTGTCCATCTGTATGTATGTAGGAACTATATATAGTGTGTGTATCCATCTATATGTATGTAGGAACTATATATAGTGTGTGTGTCCATCTGTATGTATGATGGAACTATATATAGTGTGTGTGTCCATCTGTATGTATGTAGGAACTATATATATGTGTGTGTCCATCTGTATGTATGATGGAACTATATATAGTGTGTGTGTGTCCATCTGTATGTATGTAGGAACTATATATAGTGTGTGTGTCCATCTGTATGTATAGAACTATATATAGTGTGTGTTTTATGTGTGTGTGTGTGTATGTATGTATGTATATATATATATATACATACACACAGTACATTTGTCTGTATCTATATATAGCGTGTATATATATTTATTGTGTATCTACATGTCTATCCTAATAACAATAGTAATATTCGGATCCTCTCCTGTACACATCGGTGGTGATCTGATTTCTCTGTTGTTACAATGTTACTTAACAAAAGAAACAAAGTATCTTCATGGTGCAGTTATAATTCTAAAGCCGGCCATGCATTCTACAATCTGATGGTATGATCTGCCTAAAGCCGGCCATGCATTATACAATCTGATGGTATGATCTGCATAAAGCTGGCCACACATTATACAATCTGATGGTATGATCTGCCTAAAGCTGGCTCTTGCATTACATAGTTGATGGCAGATCTAATGCAGATTGGACAATCAGATTGTATAGTGTATGGCCAGCCTAATACCAACCATACCCCTTGTAATCTGACTGTAAAGTCTGCTTTAGATCTACCATCAACTATGCAGTACAATGGTCTGTCTGATTGGATACAAATTGAATGTAGAGTTCAGGTTTGTCCTCCTATCACATAGCTTTGGTAAGTCTAAAGGAGTTGCACATTCAGATTGTATAATGTATGGCCACTTTTCGATTTACTAAAAAAAAAAAAAAAAAAAAATTAAAAAACCCATTCCATTTGTACCCAGACAGGTGCGTTTGCACTACATAGAAGAGGTGAGCTCAGGCACCAAGCACACTCCCCTCTACCTTAACCCCCCCCCCCCCCGCTGTGCCCTATTGTCCAATCAGCCCTGAGCTGGGTCATTCCCCACCCTGCAGCACACATAAACAAAGAGGCGGAGCTTTCCCTCATATAAACAAAGACCCTGGTGATGTCAGTGACCTTATATGGACACATGCTGATAGTCAATGTGATTATCCATAATAAAGACACTGACATCAGCATCCTGCCCCTTTGTTTATATGTTCTGCCAGGAATCTACCCAACTCACAACCGATTGGATTGTAAATGAGGGGACAGCAGGGGGGATTGAATAGGAGAGGAGTTCAGGAGACACCCGAGCTCACCTCTACTATTGTAGATCTAACCTGACCGGCTACAAACGGAATCACTTTTTTATTATTTTAGGTAGATCTTCCAGTGCACGTTTTTGGAGGAGATAATATACATTGTACAATCGGCCATATACTACACAATCTGACAATCACAGTCTATGGACACCTTAAAGGACACTATACAGTGTACAACCTCCATACAATCTGCTTTAACGGCACCAAAACTAATATAAAAACACCCCCTAAACCATTCTCTAGTATAGTTGGCTATACACTGTATAATGTCCTTTAAGGTGTCCATAGACTGTGATTGTACAACCTTCTTCACCATACATGTTAAAATCTCACAAAGCAATCTGTACAGTTAACATTAAATCTACCTAAACTATGTGATATGAGGATGTACTAATGTTATCCAATCAGGCAGGTGCCCTGCACTACATACAGTAGTTGTATGTAGATCTATAGAAGATTGTAACATTTATTGTGAGCTTAAAGTTGACTATACACTATACAATCTCCGTTAGGGCTGATTCACACATGTGCGGTGCGGATTGAAGCTCAGGTTTCACAGCTAATTGATATACAGTATTTGTTCACCGGTTCAGTTCAGGACAGGATCAGCTCAGGATTATCCTGTTCACACATACGGGGTTTAGAAACGGTTTGATGAATGTCGAGGTTCAGGAAGATGCTCAGGCAGGGTTGTGTTTGGTAAAAGTCCTGCCTGGGCACCTTCCTCCCAGTCCCGGGATACCCGAATTGCTGATTGTCGTTTGGAGGCTCATACATACACCAATCTATTATTATTTTTATTATTATACAGGATTTATATAGCGCCAACAGTTTGCTCAGCGCTTTGACAACTTATGACAACCTTCGTGTCTATTTATAGGTTACTGGGCAACCAGTGTCACCGTTCCTGTATTGTATAGCAGTCATTGTGTGCAGAACCTGTTCTATCACCTTGTTATGGGGAGCCATTGTAGAACAACAGAGAGGAATGTAGGGGAGGTCCTTACTGACCTTTCCTTCTCAAAATGTCAGTTGCCTGGCTGTCATGTGATCCTATAGCTTTAAAGTATTGATAAAGAGAATGGGAGATGGGGACCCCCCCCTTGCTAATGGGATTTTTTGGTGCCACACCCCTTGATAATAAGACACTGAAACTGACAAATCCCTAACTGAAAAAAACTAATGGGGTTGTAGAGGCACAAATTTTAAAGTTATTATTATTATACAGGATTTATATAGAGCCAACAGTGTGCTCAGCGCTTTACAATATAAAGGGAGACAATACAGTTCAATACAAGAGGGATAGGAGGGGCCTGATCCTTGGAGCTTATAATCTAGGAGGGAGGGGCTAGTGGCACAAAAGGTAGTAGGGGGGGACAGACTGGTAGGCGAAATAGAAGATTCCATTATTAGCTGAGGGCAGGATAGGCTTCCCTGAAGAGAGAGGTTTTCAGAGATCGCCTAAAAGTGAGCAGAGTAGGCGATAGTCTGATAAATTGGGGTAGAGAGTTCCAGAGGATGGGGGAAGCTCTGGAGAAGTCCTGTAGATGAGCATGGGAGGAAGAGACAAGGGAGCTAGAGAGCAGGAGGTCGTGCGAGGACCGAAGAGTACGGTTTGGGTGATATTTGGAGACAAGATTGGTGATGAAATTTGGGGCAGAGTTATAAATGGCTTTATATGTTATTGTTAATGTTTTGAATTTTATCCGTTGGGCAATGGGAAGCCAGTGGAGGGATTGGCAGAGAGGGGTGGAGGACACTGAGTGGAGGCCAGTGGAGGGATTGGCAGAGAGGGATGGAAGACACTGAGTGGAGGCCAGTGGAGGGATTGGCAGAGAGGGATGGAAGACACTGAGTGGAGGCCAGTGGAGGGATTGGCAGAGCGGGGTGGAGGAC